ATATCCTAGATACATTTTAGACATATACAGTTTTCGTGATTGTGTTCTTCTGTGTTTATTTTATATAGTAATAATTTTTTTGGATTTTATTTTTAAATAAATTTGTCATTTTCGATTTTTTAAATAAACACACTGCTTGCACAACTCAAGGTCATGTTAGAAGTGAGGTAAATGTTTCTTTTTCTATCTTTTACTTTAATTTTTGTGCTAGTTTTTGTGATATCACAAATTTATGTAGATTATTACATATTTTCCTTATAGTTTTCATGATTTCTGATAATTGTTTTCTTTTAATCGTAAATGCAATATATAAAGTCAATTATGTAAATTTTTTTATTATTTTGTTAGTTTTTGTACTAATTTGTGTTTTTATATATCTGTTATTCATTGGTATGTGTAATTTTTTACACTTTTATTCAACTCTGTTAATTAATTTACAAAATAGATTAGTCAAAATATTGTAAACAAAAGCACGTGTTTCTGTGATAACGTGACAGGTCATGTGACCGCAGAAACACCTGCAACAGGTAAGGTGACGCCATTCTGTTTCCTGTGACGTTCCTAAGACGTAGAAGCTATCTAAGAATTCAAAATAATTTAAAATGTTAAATGTTCACCATTATTTAAAAGCATTATTTCAGTAAATAAATTTATTTTTTATTGTTTAGATATTTATAATTATTTAAATTTAAATACATTAAAATAATAAATGAATTTTATTATTACGAAAATAATAAGTTATCAGAATAAAAACTACAGATAATAAATTCTAATTATAATTTGTAATATATTTATAAGTTAAATTTTTTATGATATATATAAAATATATTACCATTATTTGTGTATGTAAAAGATAGGTACTATTTTCATCTCTACATGGCACCAATGTAAATGTAATATATAATTCTGTTCTCAATTTTTTTTAATTAAAAAATTCAAGTAATTCAATTTAATTCAAAATTTGTGAAAATATACAATTCTAAATGTTACTTTTAATTTGGTTCATAAAAATATTAACATTTTTAAAAATTTTTAAAATAAATAGTAACTTTATACATAGCATATTTTTTGTTTAATAAAAAGAGGGGCTTTAAAAATAAGTTTACAAATATTTTAGTTTTTTATGCAAACACAAAATTTACAGTATAATGTATTTCGCATCCTGAGGTACCACTGTATTTACTCGCGAATTAATTATTCTTAGTTTTGTTATCACAATTTATGAATATTCTCAAACGAAAATAAAATCCAGTAACAATGATCAAATTATTTTATAATTTTGTGAAATTACAACGTTTATTGAATGTTCACATTCAGAAAGTGATTCATGTTAAGCGAGAAATTTCAGTAGTATGAAATTTTGTTTGGCATAAGAGAATGTAAATAAGTATTAATCACTATGTAAACTATTCCTGACGAGGTAGCCTACTCCATACGGTTTTATGAAATTTATTTCTCAACACGTTTCCGGAAACTGCACAGTGCTCTATAAAATTTATGGGTCAGTTGAAGCGCAATTATCAATAATACACTGTTGCATATTTTCGTGTGTCGTTTGTATCGTGTGATAGCATGTTTCTTTTAGCATTCCCTACAGACAGAAATCTGGAGATGTCAGATCTGGCGAACGAGCCGGCCAAGGGACTGATTCTCCACGTCCTATCCACCTGTTAGAAAAATCACTATTGAAAATCTGACGAGCTTGAAGTGATTGATGAACTGATCAGCTGTCATGTTGAAAATCAAAATTCAATCGTTGGTGAAGAGATTAGCATTTTTCATTCTCTAGCAAATGACAGATAGAAAATGATAAATGTTAATTTTTTTAAATCTCTTCCAGTAAACATTTTTATTTGTATCACCCCAGTTTTGCATGGAAGCCTTATTTTTCAAAAATATTAATATTAATAATGCTAACAAATTTTTAAAATTAACATTAATAAAAATTGCTAGGAATAAGACATTGTTATTTTGCTATAAAGAATGCAAAAAAAGTAGAGGTCCCACTTGAAAATTTAATGTTATCCCCGCCCATTTACAATGGGAAAGGTAGCATAATTTCTATGGGGTTCAAAAGGTCCCTCAAAAATTAACTTTTATCATATAAGACTTTTTCAATGTAATGTGTATTTCAAGAGATATTTGCAGTTGTCAAGGGTAATATAAGATGGCTTAGGTGAAATTAGAGATTAAAAAACAATTATCTATTTAATTATAGATTTCAGTTTAAAATTTTTTGTGTGTAATTTTTTTAAAATTTGAAAATAAGATATTTATAAAGCACACTTAATTACATATCATCTTTTCTAGTTGTTTAAAAACAGCAGATAAATTAAATTACTATAAGCATGTATTAAATATTATTAACTTTGCTCTGTTATGATTTTTTCATATTACATTGTATGTATTATACAGGCATGCTACGCTTAACGTCATTAATCTGTTTCTGAAAACTAATTGTTTTGCTGGAATGCCTGTAATGTTTAAGCATTATTAAGTAAGAAAATTCATAAATTTATAAGCGGGTATACAATTATTACTTGATTATGTAATAATTGCATATACCCGAATATCCTAGTACTAAAGTAAAGAACGAATACATTTAGCACTTCTAGAGAGTGCTAAATATATTCATTCTCTAAAGAGGCACATTATAGTTCCTTTGTTTTTTCGCCTAACAGAGGGATGGACACCTGTGGCACGTTGGGAAAACAACGTGTCATATGATTTCTGTTTATCACCCATCTTTTTCAATAATGCTTTCGGTTTATCATCTGATTAATTAATTAAAAATGAAAAATCGAATACTACAAATGCTGCACATTACCTCTAATATGTACAGACAAAGCCTCTTCAGCTACAGTTGCCAGATAGATAAAGTCAATTATCCCCGGAGTGTCTGCTAAATTTCCCCAAATTACGAAATGTTTTCGAAAAATTTCCGAGAATAATATCAGTATTACAGATACAATTTTAATATTTTCAATATTTGTAATTTTTTATTGAAATGTTTTTTCGAAGAATTACTTATTAAATTTTCACATAAGGATTTTGTAAAGTACTTATGCGAAAATTAATTCATAATTTGAAAGTAAGATACTAATATCAAATATAGGCTACTATTTGGAAAAATAGAAAAACATATCCATTTTTATTATATAATTTCAAAATCCTAATACGATTAACATACTCTTTACTTTCTCTTTATCTACATATTATGATAATGATAAACTACATACAGTATTTATTTAAATATGCTTTAAACATACTGCAAGAATATAAAAATTCTTAAATTTCACTCGCATTATTATATCTTCATAAAGTCTTTCAGTTATAAATGCAGCTATTTCCATTTATTTTTAGTTGATTATATTAAGAACTATTATGGTGAATTATATAAAACTTTATAAATTCAAGTTAAACATTACTTAAAGTGTAACATATTTGCATTAAGTAACGAAAAGTCATATTTAAAACGTATAGAAAAGTTTTGCATATTCACGTTAAATAACCAACGAAACAATTCTAATTGATTTAGTTTAATAAGAGAATTATTATTTAAAAATTTGTAATAATCGCTAATACTTAAAGCAATTACTAATGTTTTTCAGATACTGATCATATCTGAACATTTTAATAACACTCTTTTGGTTAAAAATTTTTTTCTTACAACAAAACAAAAATTTTTATTTTCTATTAAATAAAAGTAATATACAGTATGAGCGAAATTAAAAGCAATAGATATTTGAACGAACTTGATTGGAATATTTTCCATCTAGGCAAGCTAATAATACGTGGGATGTAATAAGAAGGGTTTTACAAATACTTTTTAATAATAATAAGTTAAATTATCGTTAAATAAAAAATTATATATTCCTCAACTTTCTCTTCGAGAATATAAAATTTCCACAAAATTTTAATGCCTCTTACCCCATGTTTTCCCAGTTGACTTAAAAAGTACCTTGTTTTGGGGAAAAAATCTCCTTTCTTGGAACCTGTTTTCAGCACCTGTGGTTTAATTTCCAACAAAAAAAGATGAAAAGATCACAAATGCAGTTTCGTTTTGTAAATAAAAATCTGCAGTAAGTAAAAATGAGAACAATCTGTGATTAATCTGATGTAGTTAATAGTACTAAAAACAGTACCTAGGTAAGAAACAGGACCAGAGGTTAAAAGTGACACTGTAAAACTTAAAATGAAAAGTTTGAAGTTTCGTTTCATAGAATTTAATAAGTTGTTTTCTTTTTACTTTTTGTTTTACTTTATTAGTTTATTAATATACAAAAATAAATAAAACAAGTTAAATAATAAATATTAAATAAAATTATTAATTAAATATATTACATAAGGTAATTAAGTTCTCTAAGTATTCGAGATTGATTAATAATCGAATTGTGAGAAAAGTGATATTCGCCCATCTCTAGTCTTCACACAATTCAGATTTTATTTTAAATATGTAAGATATTTGAAAACGCGAACTGAATGAATTATAAAAATCCATTTTTATGTTACATTCAGTAGCAATTTAGTATCGTGTAAATATGTAAAAACTACTAAAATTTATTCTATCCACTTTTATTCACTTAGACAAGTTTATCACTTACAGATAAAAATCTTATAATTGTTTTTCTTAAATAAGACGAACCACATATTTTCAAAGAAGCTTTATTTACATAAGAAAAAAATCGTAATTATTTAATTTAGTCTGTTAAAGCTACATGCATAGTTCAATCTCAAAACTCTATCATAAAAAGTAATAAAAAATAATAATAGGGAATAAATTTTAGTTTCTTCAAATTATATTGTTTACAAATTAAAAAATAAAATAAAAATTATAATTTTTAAATTATTATTTTTCTAACTTCTTTAAACTGTTTTTACTATTTTTTTTCTTTCTTGTTACATTTTAACGTGTTATCTTACAAGCGCAATGGTGAGGTACTGCGACATATCCCCATTCTGGTGCACTGTTCGGTGGATCTAATTTCCGATAATAAACATATACCCAGCCATATCTTTCCGTACATTCGCTACGAAACCTGAAAAATCAAAATTTAAAATGAAAACCTTTTTATTTCTAAACTTACTATCAGAAATCTGAATTTTCATTAGATGCATTCAAGCGTGTATAAATTACATTGACATTGAATTATTTCGTTTCATAATATACAGATTCATAGGGGTAATTCATTAATTACGTGTGCAGTTTAAGAGAGGGGGGCTGCCAAAAGCACAGCATTGTGCACGATGGGGAGGAAGGGAGCCAAGGCATCGTCTACGTAGACTTTTTTAGTGACATACGAATTTATTTTTATAACTCTCCTTCATAGTCATGTATATATAAATTATCAGTTAGAAAATATTTGCAGAACTTTTTAAAATCATTTCTTCAATGTCAGGGATTCACAAACTATTGTGTACGTGATTAAAGAGAAGGGGCTTTGCCAAAAGTAACTTACTGTATAAAATTGCACACCACAAGGAGGGGTTGAATTGATTATTATACTTAGATTAAAATTTTTTCTCATTTATAAAGCTTAATTTCATTTTAAAGAAATCGATTACGAATAATAAATTTATTTGCGAAATTAAATATTTATTTTTTGTTAGTAAAAGCACAGAATAACTATCATATTTTATTTTTATAAAATAAACTCACCTGTAAGAAACTCCTGTACACGGATGAGCGGGTTGCACGCAACGATAGGTGAAAACATATTGTCTTATACTATCCTGGACAATCTGCACCGGCTTATTATAGAAATCGTGAGTTATGTTAATGATCTCCCATTGCGGATTGGTCCTACAAACTTCCTGTGGTGGATATCTTGGTCTTCTTTTACCCACAGAATAATAAGATAGACCATTATCACCGTCCTCGTCATCGTTATCCTATAAATATACAATTTTTAATATAAAAACATATTTTAGAATTTTATATTAGTAAAATATCTTACCGTTTTTGTTGGTTCTTCGTCTCCCACCCATAATCTAGATTGACGTAACGAAGGATGCTGCACTATATGATCGTGTAGCTGATTCAACTTTTGTCGAATAACAGTACTTTGACTGGCGGACAGTTTCGTATGAGAGTGTGCTTCTAGCTCCCTCAATAAATTATCCGTGTAAGCTATATTCGAACATAAAAATCACATTTCAGACAGAAACAAATTTCTTACGAAGATTTAAATATTAAGATAATTTAATTTTTGATATACTATCATGGTAAACATTTCAATTATCACTCGACACCAGTAACTGAGACTTTGAGGTCTTGAACGAACTACAATATAGCTAAAAAATTATGGTATTCCTATTAACAAGTTATGGAATTAAACAGATTAAGCCCAAGCAGATTAAGCATTTTAACACTTAAATGTTTTTTGAATGTAGAACAAGATCCTTTCTACTTTTTTCACTTTCGACTCTTGTGGGCACTAAGAACCTTCTATGAAAAATTCCTGGTGTTGCTTGCCAATTATTTTGAAAAATGACATTGTATGACAAATGACAAAAATTATGAATTTTTTATTAGGGGAGACCGGGGCAACTTCGGCATGCGGGGCAAGTTTGTCAAGCGCTTTTTTTAAAAAACAAATTAAAAGGAGACTTTGGTTATAGGTTAGGCGGTTGAGTTTTATTGGTGGCTTGTTGAGTGTAGTGTTTTTATTGTTCTCCAACAAGCGTAGTTGAATTATCAAGCAAATTTTCATTTTCGTTCAATTCCATATAANAATGGTATTAGGTACTATATATTATTTCTGTTTTATTTTTATTTTTCTGTATTATTTTATTTATGTTTCTAAAAGTTATTATTATAGTTTGTTTAGAATAACACTTTAATTTTTATATTTTTTACATTCTATACCTTTGAAATAGAAAATGTGAAATGGAAATCAAAATTACTTATATTTTTTATCACCTTAATTTTATTTTTCAGGAAAAAATTTACCAGTAATTTACCGGTAAACCGGTATTTTAATTTTCATTTACCGAATTACTGGTAAATGAAAAAGTCGGTAAATTTACAATCCCTAGCAGGGACATCCATATCTACATTGATTGGAAACAGTTCCTTTTGATTTATATTTAGTTACAGTATAATTTTAGACACTGCACTTCATGTATATTGTACATGTTTTGCACTGATATGCTGCTTTTCACTATGCTTGTAATATGAAATTATCAATTGTTTCTTTGCATCACTCAATTCTGGTGTTTTTGGCATAGTTACAGCCATGAAACATTAAGCACACTTACAGTTCTGTAGATTCAATCTCAAAATGTGATATACAACAGTAGGCAGTCATTGAATTAATTTTAATATGGAACATGCCCATTATATTCTAAACTTTTGTCTCAGCTATGCTAGTATTCCATATTTTTGTATCTACTATTGATTGGTAAAATAAATCGTACTTTTTTCATAATGCATAAAATTGATTTCATTTTAGCACATGCTTATGTAAATAAATTTTGTCAAACTGCCATAAGCAATCAACCAGTAGACATGAAATATTTTTAAAAATTTACTATTGAAATGTTAAGATGCAGGAATTTATAACAGTATTGCATACTTTTGACCAAAAGTTGCATATATATTAATATATTTTTTTATGATATGAAACAATCATTCATAAAATTAGATATCTTAATTGCAATCATAAAAAATTGTCATATATTCATGTAAAGCAGATAAAATCTGTTGTTGCACTATTTTTAAATGAAATTAATGTTGTTAATTAGTAATTAATGCCAAAGAGTTGTTTAAATAAATGTTTTAAATTATATTTGTTATCAAATTCCAGTTTATTATTTCCCACATAATGGGTACATTTATATATTGGAACATTTTTACTACTACATAATGTAATACTATATTAGAAATGTGTATAAGTTGTGTATAACAAAAACATGGAAGATTTTTTACATGGATTACAATAACTGAATGCAAGTTATATTAAACCGACAGTATTTTTTTAAATAAATGTATCAAAATTTAACTGCCTTTAAGATAAAGAAATTACAGTGAAATTACTGAAACTATAAATTTATTGTTTCAAACATGAAAGTTTAGATATTGATAAATCTTAATTCAATTAATTAAAAACTCTTAATGTATTAAATGAATTTGTTATACAGTGAAAAATATGGCAGACAGGCAAGTATCAATAAAGATAAAATTAGTAAGATAAGAATGTTATATTGATATTAAAAGGATGGTTTAATATAGAAGATGAATAGCAGAGTATGTAGACTATACAAAAATTGTTATTTAAAAAGATTATCATGAAATAAGAAACGTGCTAAAGATAGTTGCTATGAAATTTTGGAATGAAAAACAATGAAAGGCTTAAAATGTTATATATTTATTATTAGATTAAAAATAAATTCATATTTGTAAATGACCTAAAGTTTATTAATAACTTATTAAATTATCTATAATTTGTAGAATTTTCCCAACTAAATAAATATAACCTTAACTAAAATTTATTCAGTTAGGAAAAAGTCCACAAATGAAATCATTTACAAAATAATCTTTCGACATTTTTTACCATAAAAATTGAATTTCCTATTACTATGATTTCACACAAAAGATGTTTGCAGTTAATATGTAAATCCGTAAATCACAGCTTAAATTTTAAATCGTTTTTCGAGGTTAACGATGAGGGCGACCTCATCATATACATCAGCATAATGTATTTGCATGCGTGATTAAATTCTACATTCGATTATGTTTATCGGGTTTTGGATAGTGAGATACCGAGGACCTTCCTAAAACATTAAGATGCATTGTATATGACTTGGGTATAATCTCAAAGATTTCTCGTCCTTCAATGTTAATTAGAAGTGAATGAAATTTGAAGACATGATACAAAGCAAATTAAATAAAATCGTTTAAAATTTAAAATGTTACAATATTTTTAAATGTAAAATGCAACATTTTATTTATTGCATCATTTATATCCCGTTTTCATAATTTGAATTGATCAGATGACGACAAATTGAAATTTTCATAGTTGGATATCGAGATTAGACTAATCTAAAATTTTTTAAGATTATTTCATATATAGAACCATATTTGTTGAAATCATAACTGTATTATGTAAAACGGAAAATTTGAACTCTGATCGAAGTAACTAGCTGTTATCTTGGTGGATTGATAAAAATACAGTTGCCAGATGTCCCAGTTTTCGGGAATTGTTCCGGTTTTTTTCCGATTGTCATCTAGCGCTAGAAGACTATTGTAGGAAGAATTTTAAGAATAAAGTATCTTTTTTCTTTTTCTACATTTTGAATGTATTTCTGTCAACGGCAGAGTGAAAATAAACATCCTGCATGTCCTGGAATTGAAGCGTCCCAATATCTTTCGGGAAGAACTCATTTTGTCATAAGAATAAACTTTTTAATTCAATGATGTAAGGTTTATATTACAGTGGTACCTCAGGATACGAACGCCCCAGCATACGAAATTTTCAGGATACGACATGAAATTCGAACATATTTTTGCTCCACGATACGAACAAAAACTCACCATACGACGTTACATTAGTTCGCAGCGCCATTTTTTTTTTCACTTCTGTTCATCGGTCTCAGTCCGCGTGTTTGCTTCTCGCTTGATAAAGGAAATCTTGAAGTATTATCAGAAAGTGACTGATTTTATTGAAAAGAAACATCCGGAAAAGAAGGTTCACACTGGCCGTATTGCTGCTCGGAGTAACGGCATTTGCCTAAGTCATTTTAGAAACATTTTAAAAAGTAGGCAAAGCCAAACCTATTTGGATAGATATTTTACCAAGCGACCTCTATCTAGTGAAAGTGCTGGTGGAAGTGAAGGAAAGAAAGCAAAAAGCAGTGAATAAAAATAAAATATATATACTATAAGGTCTCTTTTTATGCGGATTATTTTATGCGATTTTGAAGTTGTGCGGTTTGTATTTCATCCAAAAATTTCTTGGACAAACATACATATAGGCCTTTTTAGGAAGCCCGCGTATAGACAGTCTCCAAAAATCGTGGAACGCTCAAAGCTCACTCATTTGTTCCACTGACATATAACATTTATGGATGTAAAGGACAGCTAGATTTACCTTAATCGCTTTAGTTCCTAGCAATTTTTGATATAAATGTAATTAAACATAAAAAATATTTAAAACTGAAAAAAAAACGAAAGAAATGCGTTAATTTTGAAGAAAAAGCTTCAAAGTTTAACTTCCTTTGTCTCGCCCTTCTGTGAAATTTAACACCGATGAGTCATTGTTTACACATC